GACGGGTTTCGGGCCGTCCACGGGCCGCCGGCCAATTTTACATTCCTATCAATGTGTATGTTAACATGTCAATGTGAATATTCACATTGTAAATGGGCCGGGCCGGGCCCACGGGCGGGTTTCGGGCCGCCTACGGGTTGCGGGTCAATTTTATCCTATCAACGTGAATGTTAATATGTTAATGTGAATATTCATATTGTCAACGGGCCGGGCCAGGCCCGCCCCGGGCAGCCCACTTGCGGGTTTCATGGCCCCCACGGGCCACGGGCCAATTTTACACTTCTATCAATGTGAATGTTAACATGTCAATGTGAATATTCAAATTGTCAACGGACCGGGCCCGTCTCGGCCCGAGGGCGATTTTCAGACCACACACGGGCCACGCGCCAATTTTACATTCTTACCAATGTGAATGTTAAAATATGAATATTTACATCATAAAATTGTTAACCGTTCAAAAAATATTTGTAAGGGTATCAAAATTAAATATAAGGGCATAAGAGTCCAAAAAAAGAGTGTAAGTCAAGAAAAAGGAATTTATGGAATAAAACTATACATACATGAGACTAAATGGGTTAATAAATTTCGTTATGGACTTTTTAGGTTAAAACACTTCTAAATAGAATTTGTCAATAAAAATCTCTTTATAAAAAATTAAAAAATACACTTATTAATATTGAGAAGTCCACTATTGCACACATTAAACAAAGGAAAATGTTTGGTAGCTCAAAATTTTGTGACTCAAATGCCTCAAATCTGTCAAAACGACGTCGTTTTACATTCATTTACACTCAAAACGACGTCGTTTTGAGGGATTTGAGCCATTTGAGCCACAAAATTTTGAGTTACCTAGCATTAATTGTTGTTAAACAAAATTGGACTCACCCTCTGAAAAAACAAAAACAAAAACAAAATTGGCCTCCAATTAAATACGTAGACCTCTTTTTGGAAACCCAACATGGAATTTTGTGAATCCCTCAGGACTAGAAACTTAGGATTTGTTTGGTACAATTTCATGCTAGATGAAAATTAATAATTATAAAAAAAGGAGGTAAAAGCATTTCGTCTCTAACTTTTAATAAGTAGTTTTTTTTTTAATTTATTTAAGTTATTTTAATTTATAAGTTATAAGCATAAATTACATTAAATAATAACACTAATTTTTTATAAAATTAAAAAAAAAATTATAAACTACACCAAACATACCAAACATTACCATATTGAAGGTAGTTTCAGTGTAAAAAAGAATATCTAATCATATCCTTATATAAAAATTAATATATTAATAGCAATATATATATATATTTAAAAAAAAAGAAAAGAAAAGAAAAAAGGTTAGATGGATACTTGAAAAGTACATTGTACGAGTCAGATGAAGAAAGCTTACCAGGAGCAATAAACAAACATTACACTTCCTTGGAATAGAAGTTTTTTCTTCTTTTCTTCTTTTCTTCTTCTTCTAATTATTCTCTAAGTATTTTCATTAATTTGTTAGAGTTGTTCTAACAAGAGCAATGTTAATTCATGCACAAAAATATATCAAGAATATTTATTGTGTGATTCTAATACAAATCTCATCATACATTAGTTAAATCATAACGGTACGTTATTTTTTTGGATATATTTTGAATATTGTGTACAAATCTTTACTGTTCCAATACAAAGAGCTCCAATGTGTATGCCAATTGATCTGTTAAACTTTGACAATATTATCTTGTGCTTAATTTAACATATATAACATTTAGCAAAGATTTTAAAATAAGATTCAAGATCTCAAGTACTAAGGAATCAATGGATATTTGTCCGATCGTTAACTTCAAAACCTTTAGAAATTAGTTCTTAATGTCCAAATACGAGAGAACTCAAATCCAATTGGACTAAATTGGCCGGAATACTTGAATTATTAAATAAAATAAAATATAATAAAATAAATTGTCAAATTTGTCAACTCATTGCAACCAACTGATTTCAACTCTTCATCTTCCATTCAAGAGACTTGCAATAAAAATTCCAACAAATGCACATACAAAATCCAAATAAGCTCACACATTATATTCTCTAAAATTTATTATTCTAATAAATTTAAAAATATATTTTTAATATTTATTTTTATCAAATAAATTTTTATTTTTAAAAATAAATTTAGAAAAACAGATCTTAAAAGTGAAACAAAAGTGTTTCCTTCACTTTCATGCACGCAAGACCGCACAACGAGCATCCCAAGTCTTTCGGCTTAACTCCAGCATCCGTGCACCCCGTGCTGATTTGGAGTCACTGTTGTGCTGATGCACAGTGATGACTGTTGTATGTTTCGTGGGACTTATTTTAAATTTTATTTTAATAATTTGAATTGTTCAAATTTTAAAAAATATCAAGAAGAATATACTGATAAAAAATTAAATTAATTAGATATCAATAATTCCTTCATCAAAGCACATCTGTATATAAAAAAAAAGAATATATATGTATCAAATTAAATACAAATGTGATTTGATAAAAATCACATATGTATATAAAAAAATAAATATGTATGTATCAAATTGAATATAAATGTAATTTGATGAAATGATTGCCAATATTTGATTAATTTAATTTTTTATAATTATATTTTTCTCGATATTTTTTAACATTAGAATGATTCAAATTATGAAAATAAGACCCGAAACCACTTCCACAGACCGCACAATAGCCACCGTTTCTTGCATGTGCAGGCAACATGTTGTTTAAGGAATTTTTAATTTTTAATCTTTAATCTTTTGACATTTTTTTAAAAATTATATCAAACTTACCTTTTCATCTGGCTTATGTAGAAGACTTTCAAAAGCAAAAAAAAAAAAAAATCTATTAAAAAAATTTAAAAAGCCAAAATTACTGGGTTCGTTTGGTTTGTATTTCTGAAAAATTTTTAAAAAATTTTCTCTACAAATAAGTTTTTAAAATTAATCAAACCAAACAAATTTTTTCAAAAAAATTTCTCAAAACTTGTAAACTAAACAAGTTTTCCAAACAAATCTCTCTCTCATACACATCAAATCAATTACTTTTTTCAAAACTCTCTCTCAAAATAATTTTTCAAAACATCTTTTGAAAAAAACTAAACCAAACAACTTTTCGCACTTTTTATCTCTAAAACACATCTCTCAAATACAAACCAAACATACTCAGTATAATTTTTTTTACTATTTTTGACTTATTTTATCTTTTCTAAAAAAAATTGAAATTAAAAAAAATTAATTTTCCAATTTTTCTCGTTGAATAAAATCTATGAGCTTAAAGTTTTTAATCTTTTTATAAATAAAAATTCACTAAGACAAAAATAAATCTATAAAAAAAACCACCAAAATAGCAAATAGCAAATCCCAAACCCCAAGAGCACTTAACCCGGCGCCTAAGGCCCATCAAGAAAATCTAAAAAAATCCTTTATGTCAAAGGCTTCAATGCTTCAAAAGTTCGATACAATAAGCTCTCATTTTAATGTTTAGCATAAGTTATCAAAAATCAAAAGTGAAATGAATAATCACTTCTTAATCTTCTTATAAAATGAACATTCTTTCATGATGGTAATAATAATTCTATTTATAACATATTTTCTATCATTTTCTTAGTGTTCGTTTAGGATGTAAGTTGACTTTTTAACTTTTTGATTATTTGAACTTAAAACTAAAAAGTCTTGTTTGAGATAAACTTTTTAACTTTTTTGACTTTTGTGAAAAAAAAAAAAAGATTATAGATTAAATGTGACATTTTATCCTATTTTGCTAAAATAATCAATTTTGTCCTATATGACTATTTTAATCTAAATGTGTATCCCAAACGAAGCCTAAGTGAACTAAATATGAAACTAAATATTTTGATAAAATGTTCATTTCATTTCACTTCATTCTAATATACCAAACATAACATTAGTTCATTTGAAATGAATCTTTTTAGTACTTTTCTTTGTCCTTCGAGAATTTTTTTTTAAAAAAAGTTCAAAATCCTAACCCTTCTAGCTTTTCCTCGACTAGACGAACCCAAAAAAAAAAAAAAAAAAAATCAAAAACAGTTAATTATAAGAGATCATCTATAGATATTTTGATTTGTGACATTATAAGAAAAATCATATTTGGTTTGTGTCATTTTCATGCCACTGTCACTCTTGCCCAAGTATGGAAGGAAATCTTGGGGGAAGAATAAAGGGTAAAGAGATCATATGTTAACAAATAAATACCATATGATTTAATGTGAGTATTTAGGAAGTGACTATTTTAGAAGTTTTTTTTGACTATTTTAATAGGTTATTTTAATTTTTGTGTTTGGGAAGATAAAATGAATTTTTATTTGAGTTGGTGTATTGAAAAATGTATTGAAATGATATTTGAAGTTAAAATGACAAATTTATCCCTAACTTCACATTTTTCAAAATTAATTTGAAGGGATAAAATTATAATTTAGCTACCTGTCACTATGACAGTTGGACAGTTGTAGGACTGTCACAATGACAGCCACTGCCGGCCTTTTTTTTTTTAAAAAAAAAAAAAAAACTTTTGATTTAAAAGTTTTGAGGCTAAAATTGTTTTTGAAACTATTTTAGGTTCCCGAATATCCCTAATGTAACATAATACAAAACAAAGAAATTTATGATTACCCTAACGCCAAAGGGCAAAAGAAACTGAGACTAAAGAATATTTTGAAAAGTTGATAAAAAATTAACTTGACTTTTTATCGCTTTTTAACTTTTTGAAAAGTGTTTTAAAAAGTTAATAAAAAGTTAACTTTTGATTTTTTAGTTTAATATTTGTTTATGGTGTCCAATTAAATTAAAATGACCAAAATATCCTTACTCAACATAAGAAATTTATTTTTTTATTTTTTTGTCATAGGTCCCAATTTGTAATTTCACACTTGCGTTTTTGACACTTCTCAAACCAATTTTGTTGCGTTTTTGGCACTTGTGTTTTTGGACATTTTGACAAAAACATGACTCTTTATTTTGGTTCCCAAAACGGCACTAAAGAGCTGTTTTGAACACAACAATGTAAATATTAATGACCAAAGAAGTCAAATGATCAGCCAAACAACATCAAGTTGGGTAAAGATTACATGCAAGTAAACTATCAACCACATAGGTTAAAATTACATAAAGCAAGGAAGAATTTTTCCAACAAATATAAATACCTAACCTTTGGCACCCAGTCCTCGGGATTTGGGAAACTTGACAGCAACCAGAGGGTTAACCATACCTTGTGAATCTTTTCCCAAGCCCATGCCTTCCACGAAACCCATCTTTGCCATCATTTTCGATCCAAACCCCTTGGTATGCATCTCAAATGATGCAAATCTTTGAGGAGTTTCATTCTTTCCAAACTGCTTATTTTCTTTCTTTGACAAGTTACCACTGGTTTCGTTCTTTCCAAACTGCCTATTTTCATTCTTTGACAAGTTACCACTGGTTTCAGCGGCTTGTGCACCCAAACCAAGCAATTTAGGTCGTTGAATCACCTCAATGGGCTCCGCCATACCTTGACCATCCTTTCCCAGTCCACGCCCTTCTGTAAATCCCATCTTCGCCATCATTTTTGATCCAAAACCCGTTGTGTGCAACTCAAAAGCACCATAGCTTGTTGAACTTTCTACACCTTTGCCTTTTTCATTGCAAGTATCGTTCGTCTCTTTTGACACGACGGTATTGATCTCTACTGTATTAGATTGCATTACACCACTCGAGACAAAAGAAACAGGGTTTTGAGCATATGAGCCTGTTTTCCCATTCTTTTTGTTCTTGCTTGCTTCACTACTGCCACGATGATTAGGCGTGTTCTTGAGCGACTTGCTTTGGGAGGATCGCAAAGGTTCTAGTGGGCTAAAGCCACTACTGCCCTTTGCAGCCTTCTTACCTCTGCTTTTATCTCCTTTAACTGGTTTTATATCGTTGACTGCAAGATCGGCATCCTCATCACCAGCTCCTATCAGCTGAAAATTTGTAGACCTCCAATAGGTTTGAGTGAGGTGTAATGAAATGAGCAGAGAAAATTGCAACTTTAAAAACTCTCAGAGCAGGATAATAAAGAACGTCAACGTAAATACCTTCTCTAGCCGAATCTTGTCAATGGAAGATGGCATACATGTGTGTACTGTTCGCGTCACTGTCACAAATCTGAAAAACAGCAGGTCATGAATATATTTACATATATATAATTTGAAAAAATGAAAATAATACAGAAGACGAAAAGAAAACATGTCTACTGATGGATGACAATCCAAGGTTATCGAACATAAATTTTGAATCAGTACTCTTTATCATATGGCAAAACACCATAGGCTGCCTCTCAATAGCAGAGCACGAAACTGAATCCAGCATCATTTTCCAAATCACGAACTTAAATAGGTTTAGTGTACATAGAGAATGAAAAAATATATGTATTATTGATTAATATTGATTGATGTCTTACAAGATTGATTATATTCTGTATATTACAATTCCTATATATAGAGGAGAAGATGGTAGTGGAGTGTGTGATAGTGGAGGTGGATGGTAGTGGAGTGTGTGATAGTGGAGGTGGATGGTAGTGGAGTGTGTGATAGTGGAGGTGGATGGTAGTGGAGTGTGTGATAGTGGAGGTGGATGGTAGTGGAGTGTGTGATAGTGGAGGTGGATGGTAGTGGAGTGTGTGATAGTGGAGGTGGATGGTAGTGGAGTGTGTGATAGTGGAGGTGGTAGGTGTGGAGAAAGATAGTGGAGGTAGTAGGTGAGTGGTAAATTCTAACAGAGAATAACATACTACCTAACATCTTTTGTTTACCTTTTCTTTCCAGAACCTTGGCAATCACTCCGCAAGCAATAAATTGCTGCTATTCTTCGCACCTAAATGTATTCAAAACTAGTTAGTATCAACATAAGAATCTTAAACATTATACAGGTCCAAAGCACACCAAACATCCGTAAAAAATTGCACTAAATCAAAAGGCCATCTATTCATGCTGACTCCAAACTTGAGAATGGAATTTTTAGGGAGCATATGTACATAAGATGTTCTTTGTATTAAATTAGTTCCCCAGTGCAATAAGGATTGCAGAAACAAAACCATGTGAGAGAGGGAGAACCCACATATTGAATCTTAACATCAGAACTTTTCTTTTGTTCTTTTCTTCTGAGAATTCAGATCACAGAAGTAGAAAATCAGAAACAGGATTTTATAATGTGTTTGGGCCAACCAAAATGAGCAGACAGTTTCAATCAAATGAAAATACAGTAGTTACAGTACAAACGGCATACAATCAACCCCAATGACAACGCAATTGTTATAGTACGAGCAATGCAACCTCAGTTACAGTACACTGAAACATTAGACATGGTTAAAGTGACAAAAAGATTTACTTGTCATATCAATATTCCACTTATAAACTATACCATCCGATTATCTACAAGTTATTATTCTTTAAAATCCAAGAACACTTTCTACATTGTAGCAATAATAGAACTGATAGGCCAATGACCAGCTCAATATCGCATATGCAAATTACTTCTTCAGTAAACAAAAAATACAAGTGATGCAATGTTTTCCTCTTTTTTTCAGATTGGGTTGGGAAGGTTGGTCAGCCCATGACAAGGGCAGAACAAAAAACAAACCAAAACAGTAGTTAGTTGTGAACTGCAGAGCACAGAGACAAATTGAAATCTCATACCTGGGAACAATCCTTGGAGTGCATAGATTGAAATGAAAACATATCTACTCCATCCAAAACCAACTGTTGCAATTTCTGCAATTCAAAGCCACTAAGATGTCACTGATATTTTTTTTAGGTTTTATTGGAGGATTCACTGAAATGCACCAATTTGATTACTCGTATTGAAGGACAGGGCTAAAAATAAATAAAATTGGAAATCCTTCAAGAAGGTAAAATGCTATTGATTTCCAAAGAGACGGAGAAGCTTAAAGAAAAGGTATAGATATACAAAATAAAATAAAACAACATCACAGAATACAGACTAATTAAGCAAGTTTTGATTGCCAAAACAGAAGTCATAAGTCAATAGAAGAGAATATGCTCATAGTTGATAAAGCTCAAGCTGAAAAATTATATTGTGCATTCCTCTAAGCTATAATCATCGTAACGATGCATACAAAATCCTGAAACAATTTTACTATATAGTTCAAGGGATAATTTTGTACTTTACACGGTCATGAAATCAATTTTAAAGGGAAATTCTATTTACACACCAGTATATCCCTCAATACACACCATTCGTCATTTTTTTCTTATTCCCATGGCATCCCTCAAGCAAATTACTCTTTTGGACATAACCTAAAATTCTCTCCCTCTTGGAAGTGTGCCCACTGGAGTGTGGGGTGGGCTGTGGGGGGTGGGCAGCATGATTGTGAGGGTGGCGTTGCGACTGTGGGGGCTGCAGGGGTGGGAATCACAATGGTGAGCAGTGGGAATGAGGGAGGAAGGCTGGGGGTTGTTCACCAGAGGGGGACAAGGCTGGGGAAGGTTTGCCAAACAGAGTGGGAGCTGGGGAACAAGTGGCGGAGGGAATGGGGGCTGGGGACTAGGATGGCGGCAGCAGGAGGGGCAATGCAGAGCTGGCAGAGGGAGGGGGATGGTAGCAGCAGTGGTGGTGGGTGGTGAAATTAGGGTTAGGGTTAGGGTTAGGGTTTGAGTGAAGAAATGGGGATATTTTGGGAATATTTTAAACCATTAGGTGTGTATTGAGCAAAAATCAAAAAAACAAAAGTGAGTATGGTGGATGTGGTAGTGTGCAAATAGAATTTTCCAATTTTAAGACTAGCTGATGTAAATGGTCACAATAGATATGAGATTGTAACTGTATGATTCTACATGTATCTTTTTCTACTAATAATTTAATAAGATAATGTGATATTTAAAAAATAATAAAAATAAATATAAAAACAAACAACAGAACAATTAATTGTTCACCATGGAGCCATGTTGTTTCCACACACACCAATAAATAAATAAAATTAATAAAAGAACTACTAACAATTATTAATTAAACATTAACTTTTAGAGGCATGATATGATACCAATGATCACTAAACAGTTTTATCGGAAACAGTAGCAAAACAAAAGAGATGTCAACTCATTTTCAAGTATGAAAATATGATATTTTGTTACCAAATTTATTTGCTGAAGATCAACACCACGACGAATCATTCTCTCTCTACGCTTCAAAGCAATAGTTTCTTTCCGATGCTTCTTCTTTTCACCTGAAATAATACACTAAAGTATATACAGTAGAGTTGAAGGCAGGTGGTTAATTTATTAATAAGTAGAACATATAGACCGTGATCACAACAAAAGAAAGAAATAAATCTCCGCTGGCAACAAATAGATCTATTTTACAATCTCAACGAGAGTTTACCACAGCTTGCAATTATGGTTATTTTTACATTTTATATTACTCTCTTTGTAAAAATCTGATTCATAAAAAAGAAGAAAAAATAGATAAAATTACAATCTCAAGATTCCACGACTCCCAAAATCTTAATTCATGCTCTTGTCTCTTAAAACAACTTATTTACAAGATTAAGTACACAGAAAATAACATTCATCTTGCTGAATCCATCATATTGGTGATGCCATCCTGGACCATGGGTCTTTGTCCAAATCCAAATTCCTAGAATTATGTCACTCCTAAATCTTTAATACAACCCCATATTTTTAGAACAATTGCATTAAATATGCAAATAAAGTGCATTGAAAAAATAAGATTGTGTCGAAAAAAGAAAAAAAAATCATCTTTCACCTTAATTACATTGATCGTATCATCTTGAATTAGTATGTTAGTATTGTAGCAATATAACTTGGAGAGGTCAAAGGGCAAACAATTAAGAAACTAAGCATATGATACCTGAACAACAACAAAAGTCCATTAAGAAACTGGAATAGAAAAGATACAGCTTGTTGGGTATCATTTTCGTTTTCTGCAAAACACAAAAAACTTGTTTGAACATTGTTTCCGAAATTAGTTCTGTAGAAAATTTTCTAAACACAAAACACTTTTTGGGAAACATTAAAAAGTTGTTTATGAATTTTCAAAAACTAGTCTCGCACAAAAATGAAAATGATGTATGTTTTCAAACTTTATATTGTGTTTGTTTCCAAAAATATGAAGAACAAAAATGATACCAAACAGATCCTAACCCTCTTTCATTTCTGTGTATTCAACATTTTAAAAATACAAGAAAAATTCACAGCAGCAAATTATATTTCATAGGATTTTTAAATTTATATTCACTCATTCGGCACTGACGCGTTATATAGCCAAAATAAAACTATGCATGTAACGAAAAACACTCTATATAAATTATCTTCTTTACCTGGAAAGTTTCTGAAATTTTTATTCTTTTGAGCCTCAGATGGCCAGGACTGAGGAAATCGAGCAACATGCTTCTTCTTTCTTGCAGAAATGGTTCTTGGATCCTTTACAAGCATAAGATCATCCAAAGCAGATGAAGAAGTATACCTAGTGTCTCTAGGTCTAGAAGCCTCGGCAGGGAATTTCTTTCCAGATTGTGGTTTCTTCAAGCCATATTCTTTTGATGCATCCTGAAGAGAAATCCCACTCAATTTCTTTAAAGTCTCATCAAAGCAACTGCCAGAAGTACTATCATCATCATCCGATACATCAAGGACCGGTTCTACAAATTGCTTGATGTCTACAACTTTGTCACTCCCGCCAATTCCTTTAAAGTAATCTAGTGCAACCTCTTCATCAATATCTGAATCACTATCAGATGTGTCATTGGAGCCATCACTGTTAGACTCAGACGATTCTGAAGAATCCTCTGAACCAGATGATTCTGATTTTTCCTCATCAAGTAACTCTTCTCCATCCTCATCATCCTCCTCTTCTAAAATATCTTGGGTATACAATTTCATGCCTCCAATAGACAAGAACCCTGGATTTTTCTCTGGAGATGACGATTGAGCCAGCAAATCATCAACCAAGTCAGTACTCGCTTCACGGACATAACTAACATTCGCATCCATTTCCTCCTCAGAGGATGATGAATTGAAATAATCACTTTCTTTCATTTCCATTTGCAATGAAGATCCAATACCACTTGGAGTTGCTTCTTCTTCAGCACAAAACCCCAATCCTCTGTGAGAGCTATCATCCAATGAAAAACTCGTACTATAATCATAAGTAAATTCTGACTTTTGGGGTTCCACAGACGGTGTTTGGGCTTCATATGTGACAATCAGGGTCTCCTTGGAATCAACCAGAACATCAGGGTGTGACTCATCCAAATTGCTATCCGCATTGTTACCCTCATTTGGAAGTGAACCTTCCTGAAAAAACATTACAATATTCCACCCAAATTATCCAACTCAATTCAACTTCTGCTACAAACAGAGCTTGTTTAATAGTATAACGTAAAGAACATAAAATGAATCCCCAAAAATAACATAAACTATCCCATAACCATATAATTTAACAATCAAGACAATGCATTGGACAATATGGCAATTAAACTGTTAGGCCTGTCATAAAACATACCTCTTCTTCTGTTCAACAACGGAAAAAAATCAGCCTATACAAACACACATGTCCATATTAAGTACAGAGGAAAAAAATCAAAATTTTAGAGTCTAAACCAGCATGTACTTGCAAAATCAACTAGAAAAGGGAATTGAAAACATTTATTTCAAATTAAAAACACTTGAATCCAAAATGACAATAATTTCCATCAAAAATCCCCCAAATCAAACCAAATTAATCAAATCCAACAAAAATTGAAATCAGTTCCATAAATAAATAAAAAAGGGTCCCGAATCCATCCAAAATAATCAAATCCAACAGTCAGAACAGCTTCTCTAATTTAGCCCTAGCTCAATTTCATTCTAATCACACAAAAAAGAATGGAACTTTGACTTTAAATCAGCATTTACCTGGTAATCAACAGTTGGATAAACGTAACCAAAAGCGTTTCCTCTAGGTTTCCGAGATTCGCTTGTAGACCCAGAACCTTTCGCTCGATCAGAATTCCCAGATCTCAAAGCAGACTTCGAATTCCCATTTCCACCATTAGGGTTTCTTCCTGCAAATCCAACAACCAAATCAAACAACAATCAGATACCCAATTACACACATACACAGACTTCGAATTTCCATTTCCGCCATTAGGGTTTGGAAATCAAACAATCAAAACAAAGAACAATCAGATACCCAATTACATATAGACCTTTGGGAGTAGAAGAAATTGGGGACCAATCGGACAAGAGACCGCCGGCGACGAAGAGAGCAGGTTTTCGGGTGGTGGGTTTGGTGGATCTCTTTTTGTTACCTCCCGCCATGGCTGACCAGTTCAAGCTAGCTTCGAATCTACAGATCAATCTATATTTACAAATATGTGTATGTATAGAGAGAGAAGATGTGTTTGGGGAGTGTTAACAGAACAAGAATGGGGAAGAAGAAGCCATGGAAGAGGTGGAGTTGAGTTTTCCGAGGATGATTGGGTGTGGTGCGGTGTAGGGGTGGACTTGCAGTTTGATGTTTTTAAGTTGTTGTACCTTTTGAAAATGGTGTAGTTGGCGTGTCATGTACAAGCTTGAATAGCGTGGAGTGTGAGGATAAGTGGAGATCGGGTTGTAGGGGATTTTACCCCCGGCATCAATTGTATTGGGGAACACGAATGATGCTTTTCGTCACTGAAAAATATTTTAAACAAAATTTTCTAATTATTGATAATGTGTAAATGTTGTCAAATATTTCTAATTATTGATAATGTGTAAATGTTGTCAAATATTCATAAATTTATTAATTTATATTAAAAAATATAAAATTTTTATTAAGTTGTAGGCCATATGTTAATTTTTAATTTTTTATTTTTAAAAAAAATTGCATGATTGATTTAAAGAGTTACCTTTTTAGTAGCTTTTTCATTTTATGATGAAAATAAGTGACAACTATTAAAATGTTTATTTTTTGACTCTTTATAGGAAAAAAAAATATGTAAAAAGTAAAGATAATAATAAGGAATTTTTTGTCTTTTCACTTTAATTTTTTTTTTGACTATACTAGCTAATTTCCAAACATTTTCTTAGTAATTGATGTTTATAGGGTCTTGACTCTTTATAGGGTTTAATCCCAGATGTTATTCCTATGTGGTTGGGTTTTTTTTGAAATGGTTTGATATTAATTTTTTGCAAATTGTTAATCCAAAAAGAAGAAATTATAATTATTTTCTCTCAATTTCATAAATTAATTTTTTATGTTTATTTTAAATTATTTTTTCCTTATAAACTATAAATTAACAAACACTCACATTAAAAAAAAAAGGGATAAATACTAGCAGGTGCTATAGACCAGACCTATCTAACTCATAAGTCTTATTATGTGAAGACTTTTATATATTTGTCTCATTTTGATAATGAGAATAATTTGAGATTTTTTAAATGTATATTTTATATTTGTTGAATGATAATTTAGTATTGATAATGATATTAACAAATTTATCAAAGTTATAAATAATTAAGATATTTTTTATTTATGAATTTAATTTACTTTAATTTATTGAATTAGTTTGTATTGGAATATAATGAGAGAAAAAAAAGTAGTTGAATTATAATTTTAAATTTTTTTCTAATAATAAATTTATTATTAAAAATTACAACAAGACATATTGATAGATAAATCAGGTCCATTTAGACTAGCGTGTAACTACTCCCTAATATTGTGTTCGATTTCAATTTTTTAAAAATTGAGTTTTTTGTGTTTTTTATAGTAAATATTTTCAGAATTTTAAGCATTTTTTTTTATTTTCTTAAATGCACCTTACTTAAATGTATCTAAAAAATAAAATATTTATAAAAAAATATTTTAAAAAATCAATAAATATACAAAAATATGAAAAAAATACCGAATTCTCTTTTTTAATAATATTTTTAGTATTTAGTGAATTTAAAAAAAAATTACAAATATTATATTTTTTAAGTGTATTTATATTAGATAAAATTTAAAAAATTGTTTAAAATATTTAAAAAAAAACTAAAAACAAAAGAATACGAAAAATAAAATAAGAAAAAAAAAAAAATTAATTTTGTGAAAAATGAATCATGAAAAATAAAACCAAACTGGGTAGAGTTATAATTTAAGCTTGCATTCATGGGCTAAATATTGCCTATATAACTTTGGGTTTGAGTTGAATCCAACAATTTTTGGAGCCAATAACTTGGGTTTCCTACTCCAATAATATGGGCTTAGGCATGGGTTCATAACATGTTTATTGTACCCTTTTAATTCTGCTGTGAAGGTTGGGCAATGTGAGCAAATAGTAACCTGACACGTACACACTCCAACACGAGTTCATTTTCGGGGTTTTGAACCAGCACATCAGTTTTAATCCAAATCAATTATACCAAAAAAATTGAACCTTGAGATCTTTTTTTTTGTTGCGATTTATCTCTCCGATATGGTGGAAAGATGAGATTTCAAACTTTTTTTTTTTTTTTTTTAACTCGACCAATCACAATTAATCGTAACTAATTTTGGTATCGTCCAATTCTTTTGTACACCTCTCGTAGGGTTCTATGATTTCTTGTTGATGTGCGATTACTTCTTTATGGAAGACAATCCCATGAGCCTAATTACTTGTCTTGTTCCATTTCAATTGACAAACAACTATATCTAGGTGTAGTAGGTATGAAAAAACTTGGCTCATCTCAAAGCATTGGATTTCTGTATCTTGTTTCTCAAAACAGTTTTGTTTGTTGCAAAATTCCAACAGCTTTCTCCAAGAGAAACACCATATATCATAGATATTATTCTATCCTCAATTGCTAGTTTTATTCATTACAAGTCTTCCAACGCCTTGCCCAAAAGTTATCATAGCACTCACTGAAAAGGTTTCCTTGCTGTCAGAGGAGAATTTCCACATAGCTCCCGCTTACAAATGATCTAGAGGCACAAGGAATAGATAGATAAAAACAAAGAAACCCGGGGGTGGGTGGCATTATGATTAAGGTTTGAGGTTTAAGCTCTCAGGTCATAGATTCAATTCCCTCTTCTGGATCAATTTCTTGAGCAAAACACAGTTGGTTAGGAGGTTGAACCTCAAGTTGTCTAATCAGCATTTGGTGTGAGTTCAATACTCCCTGCTGTACGAGTCTTGACTTAAGCGGAGCTTATCTTAGAAGGTCGGGGAAAATTTTCAGGTAATAGTCTCCTTACTCGGAACGGTTAACAGGACACCCTGATGATCTCTGCAAGGGGCGCTGCCTTGGACCTGCGGAAGAGTAAGAAGGATTTTCCTGTAAGCAAAAAAAAAAAAAAAAAAAAACTGGAAAACACAATGTATTTTTTTAATGAATATAATACATTTTTTATTGAATAAAACATTTTAAAATATTTTTTCTCATTTTCAAAACACTTTTCATCACAATTCCAATATTACACAATGCCCCAAGGATACTTGGAAAAAATTATTAGTTGGTCCAGGGGCGCCACATGGTCATATCTCTCACCAATCACAATTTACCATACCCCCTCATGTTTTTCAATCACCTAACACAAATTCGTAGACCTCATCCCCTCCACCAATCACAATACCATTGACGTTTTTTCAAGATCAACCAATAACTTCTCAAATACTCGTTAGCATTTTACCTTTTTCATATATATATATACATATATATTATAGTGATCTACACACGCGATACATGTGTAATTAAAAAATAATAATTATATAAAAATAACGGTTAAAAAGGACATATTATATAAGAATGCACACTAGTATGCGTTGCCCAATGATAAATGTTTTGTTTATTAGATTAGAGGTTTGGGTTTTGAATCCCAACCTCCACTTTATATATAGTTTTATCTTTTATAATAGCCTAGAAAGGCATTTTAAAAAATAAAAATATTATATTGTGTCAATATCATGAGAAATCTTTATTTTATAATAGAACTATATATTATGTGTTGCTCAAATGGTAAAAGACCGAAAGTCTTGAGTTCGGATCTCCACCTCCTCTTTATATAATTTTATATTTGAAAACTAAAATGGCATATGGTGTTAACATCATCTTTAAGTCTTCATGTTATAATAGATATGTTGGTGAGAAATAAATGTACAAATAACAGTTGCTCAAATATATATGTTATATTAGAGCATCTCTAATTTTTTACATTTTCTTTTGTCAAATTTAAATTTGAGAAAAATGTTTTCAAAAATCATCTCAATCCTTTCATCAAATATTCATGAAATTAGTCATTTTTTTTTGTCAAATTAAAAATTCATCAAATCTTTCATCAAATTTGAATTTGATAAAAATTTAGAAAGATGAAGCATTGGAAATAATTTTTTTCCATTAAATTTCATGAAAATTTTTGAGATAAATGGAGAGTTTTTTTTTAAAATTTTAATAAAAAATTAAAGTAATGCATATAAAATGAAGTTTTTTTACTTAAATTTGAAATTACATTAGAAGAAAAAATTAGTAAATAGTTTGAGATGCTCTAAGTGGATCCGAAACTTTATTACTGTATGTCATATATGCAAAAGGGAACACATTTTTGGTTAAATTGTATTAATGATTGGATTTTTTAATGCTCCATTTGGAACTTTGAGAGCGTAAAAGATGTGAGAAAAGTCGATGAAATAATTAACAGTTTAAAATTAAAATTTTTAGTTTACTTTTCATAATGTATAGGTCGTTTTTATTTTAAAAAAAATTATATCGATACAAAAATAATTAATCGAAATATTATATTTAAATAATTTTCTCTTTGAATTATTTGAATATTACAAGATAACCAATAAAAAATTAACATAAATTAAATAAAAAACACTAATGACAAAAAAAAAAAAAATCTAGTGAAATCCCAAACTCATCCAAATTATCATCTTTGGGAACTAAACATTTTAGGCAACAAGTCATTTTCAAATCAATCTCTTTATTTTTTTGTATGATTTTTCATAAAAAAAATTAAAAAATTACTACAAGAATTATTTCAACGTAAAATGTTATCATTAAAAATATCTTACAACTTTTCTATTTTTTGATTCAACAAAAAGTAAAAAATATTTTTTTGCTAGTTCTCGAAATAACTTATCATTAAAAATTTTGCAAATAAATTATTAGGAAGTTCAAGTTTGGTCCTTTTAGCACATTAATATTTCAAAAATGAAACGGTGACTCGTCATTGATTTCTCTCAATGCATATAATGTAATTTTTATTTATTTATTTCAAGTATCAACTAAATATTATAAAATAAAATAAAATATTTTTTAATGCAAATCAGTTTACATAAAAAAAGAAAGAAAAACTTATAAAAAAAAACTCAAGATTTGACCCTTATAACAAATAAATTTTTAATCCTAAACTTTTGATTTGTTTATAATCTTAATAATTTTGCCTATTTTTGTTGAGTAAAATTAACGAAAAAAATTATATTTTAGTAATTAAATTCAATGAAAAATAATATTTTATACCTTTTATCTATATCAACATTGAGTTTAACAATTAAAATACTATTTTTTGTCGATTTTGCTTAACAAAAATAGGTGAACAGTTTAAATTGATAAAACTAAAAATTAGAAATTAATTTTATTACAAGACTAATACTCTGATTTTCTTTTTCTTTTGTAATTGTCCC